GTTCTGGCTGACTTTAGCCTGCTTCAACCCATCAGGTAATTTTAATTCTTTTTCCCCTCGTGCTTCATTTCTCTCTTTCAATTCAATTCCCAAATTACTTCCCAGAATCCCTAACCCTCGTTCCTCCTCCATCCCCAATTCATGCTCATTCAAATCCCGCTCACTTCCTCGATCTTCCCTTTCTTCTCAAACTACAACATTATGTCCCACACATCTTGTAAATGCATGGATGGATATAGCTAGGGTTCCTTCTTCCTTATCCTCAATCTCTTCCTCCTTCTCTCATTCTTCTCCTTCTAAAGTTTCTTTTTCCTCTTGCATCATGTTGAGTTGATTAAGCTTGCATTGATGGCCAGGGGTGAATTTCTCTACACATTTAAAACATAAATTGTGTGTTCTTCGATATTCAATCAGTGTATGTCTATTCTGATAGTTCACAGTAACCTTGGGAGTGGTAGTTAAACTAGGCAGTTTCTGAGAAAGAGTTTATGCACCTGAGTAGTTACTCTTAAGGAAATGTTGCTTTATTTTCCTTCAATCTCTAAGGTCAATTCGCACAGTCTTTCCCTTCTATAAGCTTCATCCAGATTCTTAAGTTCATGCATTCTCACTTCGCGCTTAATTTCTTCCTTCAATCCTCCCAAAAACAAGGACACAAAGTAATCCTCTCTAAAACAAGGGTTATGTTGCAGCACGAAGGGTTTAAAATCTTCATATTTCTCTTGATAACTCCATATTGTTGCTTTCTACATAAGCTTACTAAATTCTTCGATCACATTTATGTAGACTTTATCACAAAATCGATGACACAAGTCTATAATAAATTCCTACCATATCAAATGATCCTTCCGCATAATACACCCATCATACTAGTTCTCAACCTTTCCAGTTAAATACATTGCCACTATATATATATATATATATATATATATATATATTTGCTCTTCATGAACTGCAAAAATAACAAAATGCTTTTGGTACTTCTTCACCCAGCTCCTCGGTTATCCCATCAAATAGTGGTAGTTCAATTTAAGCTTTGGAGTATATGTTTGATTTTGCATACTCTTTTCATACAAGTAGAGATCTTTAGATAGTGAAGTGCTTCCAGATTATGGTTACTACCTCCCAAGTTTAGCTTTTGGGTTTGTATTGGTGGTGTAAGTGGTTTGGAAGCTAAGATGCCATGTTCTTCAAGACTAAATGAGTATTTTCATGCTCACTTGTATAGGTTTTTTCTCATCAAATTTTTGTAGAGATTAAGTGGTTACCTGGTCATTCTTCTCAGGAGTGGGTTGTTCAGCTTCCAGAATGAATTTTCCTTTACATCCCATTTTGCTTATATGTTCAATACAGGAAACCTAATAGAATTGTTAAAAACCAGCAATACAAAAGAAACTTACAGTAACTTTAGTAGACTAATCATAATAAATAATAATAATTTTCTTTAAAACTATAAAATTAACACAAATTAATTGTTAAATAATGTAAATAAAACCATACATAAAAATGATTAAAAATAAAAAAAATGAAAAATAGAAGATATAAACAAACATCATTAATTCATTATCGATGGTGAAGTATAAGCATAATAGAAACTGATATAAAAATGAATATAATGACAAGAATACATTGACAGTTGGACTTTATCGCAACTCAAATCCGACATGTTTAGGATAATTACGAGCACCTATCAATATAGAATCAAGGGTAAATTAATTAAATAACCAAATCAACGTTAAACGAATAGACAACATCAAATCTAATCTAAAAAAATGTATTATTGAAATAAAATAAAAACATCTTATATAAGCAGAAAAAACATATATTGTTTTCATTAGAAAAAAGAAACTTATTAAATAAAAAATACATAAATTAAAATATAAAAAATAACGAAAGTTCATATCTTGAAAGTTGAATTAATGTATGATTTGAATGGTGCTAATTTAGGCGTCATTTAATCAAATTGATCATAGTTTTTTAAAGATTAAATGCTCTGATCAAGTTGTTTTTTATAAAAATATAAATTAATGATTATTAAAGTAGTAAGAATATCGTTATATAAACGGTAATTTGAAAATAAAATTTTAAAATTAAATGACTAATAAACATTTTAAGAATAGATAAATTCAAAATCTTTCGATAATGTTATCAAATAATGTTAATTTATCGATGGATTTTCAACATTAACTATTCACAAAAAGTGTCATCCTAACTAATTGACTAAAAAAAGTTTCATCCAAACGAATGATGATTTAATTTAGGGTAAATTACAAATTTCATCACTAAATTTACTCTCTCTCCTATTTTGTTCTTTGAACTTTAAAAGTTTTCAATTTTTTCACTAAACTTAATACATTGAAGTTTTTTAGTCACTCCGCCATTAAATATTTAACGACGTTAAAACGAAGTCGTTTTATACCTATATAAGAGCTCATTTATATTGTCATTAGTGAGAAAATGACTGAATGACCAAACAAACTCAATGCATTAAGTTCAGTGAACAAATTGAAAGGATTTAAAGTAGAATAAGTGAAATAGAATAGAGTAAAATTTAACTACCAAAATTTTAATTTACCTTTTGATTTATTAATTGAGGGAATCGAGAACCCATCACTTCTCGAAATTGATGAGAAGTGACACATATTAATAGTTGACCCAAATTGGTTCTTTAATCCGGTTGATAGTGGAAGCTCGAGTATTGCTGATCTCTACACGACTCGAAAATTTTGTAATGAAGCTTAACTCGACTTGAAAACTCGCGAGTTTAATATTTTCAAGTTCGGCTCGAACTCAATATCCTGAACTGAAGCTCGTGAGCAGCTCGAAAAGGCTCGAAATAATATTTTTAAACTTAACTCGATTGAAGCCTCAAACTCAAACTCGAATCTGAACCTTAAATACATAAAAATCTTACTATATTTAAAAAAAATAATACATAAATATTAATATTATTAATAATTTATTTTTAAAAAATAAAATCTTAATATATTATAACAGCTCACGACCTTTTCGAGTCGAATATCAAGTAGCTCGTTTCGGCAAGTTAAGAACTCGAGTCGAGCTCGAGTACATTCAATCCGAATATTTATCGAGTCTTGATCGAATTGATCTCGAGTTGCTCGTGATCTATCTTATCTCATTTACAACCCTAGATGCAATATCATCCTCAAATTATACTTAATTATAGGGCTTAAGAAACTATCATGTTTAAGGAACCAGAAAGAATCATTTATTTTTTTTAAAAATCAGAATTCGGCAGGAAAATTAAATAAATTCAAGCGGCTTTTAAAAAATTAATATTTTCTGATCTGATCATTTAAATAAAAAATAATTATAATGATAAAAGGAGAGGTATTGCTTACAAATAACCTTAGTTTTTTTAACAATATTATGTTTGTGCAATGTTCCATGGATACTACATGGACTAAAAAGTATAACATATACTATTATAGTACCACATCAAAATATTTTAAAAATTGGACCACAGACTAAACCATAAAAAATATTAATGATAAATCTAAATTAGTACTACCTAAATCTGATATGATGAGATGTGGTATCGTAACAAGTAATGCATCTATCTGAATGTGGTTAAAAAGCTTTTATACACAAGTAACATTTCATTGCTTTTAAAATTTAGGGTAAATTACATGTTTAATATCTAAACTACCAGTTTTGATCCGTTTTAGTTCTTAAACTTTTAAAAAATTTAAAATCATACATAGTGTTTAGTTTTTGTTTCATTTTAGTACATCCGTTAAGTTTTGAAAAAAATATAAGTTTAGATACTAAAACAAATCAAAACTAATAGTTTAGATACCAAACACATTATATTTTTAATAGTGGTACTAAAACAAAAGTTAAATGTTTAAGTATGATGTTGAAAAAAAAATTAAAGTTTAAATACCAAAACAATCAAAAACTGATAGTTTAGGTACTATACACATAATTTACCCTAAAATTTAATAGATTTTAGTATCTTTTTACCAATTAGGTTGTGTTTAAACACTACAACACAATTACATGAAAATATGATTACTAAATATAATTACTATCATAATAGTTATATGTAAACATAATTACAAGAAATTCTAATTCTATAGAGTTGTCATTTTTTATGTCATGTTAGATAATACAAATTATATATACAATGTTATATAAGTTTAATTTTTTTAAAAATAATATTACTTATAAATATTGAAGAGTGCAACTACATTTTCACATAATTACATCAATCATCATACTTTTCCTACGACTTGAAGAGTGTATATTAAGACCTCCAATTACACTAATTCAACACAGATTACAATAATTATCCAAACATATTATGTAATTACATCAAAATTACATTACATGGTAGTTTTCTAATGGCGTCCTTAATGCCATTTAATGACACCAAATATGATAAGAAAATTCATTATAATTAAGATAAAGACCATTATAGCAAGAAAAGGCAATGGTAATATTTGAATGGGTGGATTTACCTGACTTAAAGGTAAGACTATGCCAATCAGTGTTGGTTTTCTTTTATTTTCCTTAAATGAGATCAAAGGACCAAATAGTACCAAAAGTAATAATCTACAACACTAGTAACGAAGAGAAATAGTTTTCACGTACCAAATTAGTAAAAGATGCACATCAAAACACATCCTTTTAAGAGTGTTTAATCCTCAGACCAACCAACCTGTTCCTTCATCACTGTAATAGAACAATTAACATCTACCACTCGGGACACCGGATGAATATCAGATATGATATGCATCAGAATTGTCAATTAAACGGGTCGAAATGGTTTGAACAAATTCAATTCGGATTTTAGAACTTTCGGGTCATTTGAAGTTTGTCTCCATACCCAAATGAAGACATCATCTCCGATTGCTTCATCATTCCTTAATCTGAACATGGAATCTGAGTAGAAACAGAAGAAATGAAGGAAAAAAAGGGTACCCCAAACATACAAAACTAGTTTTTCTTTCCTATCTTTTCAATTTCAAATGATAAAATATAAACCATAAGCTATTTGTTGAATTGTGTCCCCATCAACCACAAGTTAAAAACCAGAGACAGTAAAAGCTATTTACCCCGCAATAAGTTCTTACATTGCATAAAACTATCCTACTCTCTCTCAGCCTTGCCTTTATATATCTTAGAAATCCTATGCTAAAAAACCAGGTAGAACTCATCAATGCTCTACGTTCCAATCCACTATCACAAACAGCAACAGACACGTTGTATCCTCTCCTTTCTTTTAAACCCAGATTCCTTGTATTTTCATCCTCATATTAATAATAGAAAAAGAGGGTAAAAAAGTGAGCAGCCAATTCAACGTATTCGAATTTTACCAAGTCAATTAGAACTTCGACGAGTCAAAGCTTCTCCTTTGGAATCCATTGAGCTCAATCCAGATGTGGTGTCACCATGAGGCCCATTATGAGAGTTTAATGGGTTTGATGACTGCATTCGTTGAAAAAGTTTTGCAGACGGTTTCAGTTTCGAGTACTGAAGGAAAAAATTGTAAAATCCTTTTAGGAGATGCCACATGAGATTTCACCATGAGTAAACAAAACAAAAGAAAGGAAGAACCTAATTGCATGAGAAAGTTCAAATTTGGAGAAGTGGCTACCTGCTCGAGAAAGGCATTAATCTCCTCTTCTGTAAGACCATTATCATCTCCAACATTCTCTTCCCAACCAAGGGAACGTAAAAAAGCAGCCTCTTCCTCATCAGGATAAAGGAAAACATCAGGCCTTGAATGCACATCTCCATTGCTAGAACAGTGCTGAGACTTGGTATAAGCATCTCCATTCAGGGCCATTTCACTCCTATTGTCAGTTGGCAAGTCAGCAATTGAGATTTCTTGTGCTAGATCACCTGCATCCTTCAGAGTAACAGCAGAGCTGGAATCATCAGGGTCAAGTTCATCAGGCTTCTCAGAGACGGGTTGTGACACAGCAGGGCCGGGATCAAGGGCAGAAGAAGCAGAGTCCGTAATAGATTTCTTCTTTAGAAGGTTGAAGAAGTCATTCCTACTCTGGGCTTGAGAAGTTGCTCTCTTCTCCATGGTTAACCACAATTGAGTCTGATTACGCACAGCAGGGGCAGACCTGGGGCTGTTGCCTGAACTCCTAAAGGGAGAAGATGCAGCAGCTGAAGGAGTGAAGCTTAGTGGACTACTCACAATTTTGTTGCTTCCATTAGTAGGACTCAAGTTATCCTTAGTGGCTACTATGGAGCCACCGTTCGGTTCTCGTGATGGTTTGAGTATGCAAAGCCTGCTCTCATTAGAAACTATAATGCCATCAGATCTTGAAGTTCCACCATGTGTGGAGTTAACAGAGACTGAAGGATGCAGCTGCTGTCCAACTTTAGGTTTCGATTTCTCTGAAGGGCAGGCCACCTATTAAAAAAAAGGAAGTGAATAAACACACCCACACATAGAAGTAAAATAGGCAACCTTTAAAAATCTTATCCAATTAAATTCAATAAGCATAAAATTCAGCACTTAGGTTGACTTCATAATCTAGTTTTATAAAGAAAATTAGAATAAGATCTCTAACACAGTATATAACCCCAATGTGTACTTGTAATAAGAAACAAACACACAGAAAAGCTTAACAATAGCTCACTATAGTTTTAGGTGTCGATATTGTCAACAAGGGAATTAGTTGCCTTGATTGTTTGATAGCCAGCTCTTCAAGCCTTTGAGTTTCAACATTTAACTACAACAGGGAACACATCAGATCTTATTTCCGCACTAATATAATTTCTAATGAATAAACTTAAGAACAGAAGAATTGGTCAAGTTACCAATGGAGGTGTATGAGAACGAGAAGGCCCCTGGGCCACTGCTTCAGCCATATTAAGACCCATCGTCGTAGTTGGAGTCGAGCCTGCACAAACATTTGGTGAAGCTACTGCCACACCTCTGCCATTGCTTCCCAAGCCCACAGGAATGTCTGCTAGAGCTGATGCTCTACCATCACTGCCAGTGCCAGGTGAGGTCCCCAATGGCAAGCTCTGCACAAGATTATTCAAGCCAGGAGATGAAACTCTTCCTAATTCAGACCTAAACTGTCTTTCTTCAGCACCCAGTGAAGGAAAATCACGTTCAAAAGCAGATTTGTTAATCAAGCCAGGAGATGAAACCCTTCCTATTTCAGACCCTACCAGTCTTTCTTCAGCACCAAGCGAATGAAAATCACACTCAAATGCAGATTTATCACGGAAAGCTGTGCTAAGCTTACCATTACCACTGCTATGATGGCTTTTGCTGTTGTTACAAGATTCATTTGTCACTTTTCTTGGCCATGTGTCACTACGCTTGCCGGTTATCATAGACTGTGAACGCTGTAAGACATACTTCTCAGATATGCTTGGCAGCAAGTTATCCAGAGAATCAGAATAGTTTCGGTTCCTATGGCCACTGAGAACAGCATTCTTCCTATCATGGTAAACCTTTTCCCAATCCCTTTCCCAGTTGCCTTTAGCAAAATTGCTATAAGACCATGAGTCAGAAGAACCTTTGCTACTATAACTCCTCCTAAAGTAGGCAGAAGAGTCCCTATCCAAAACAGATGTCCGGCCTATATCACCATCACTATCAACAGACAACTTATTTCTGGCATGCCTCAATGCAAAACGACTGTCTATGAAAAAAAAAAAGAATCAAAGCTTAGAATATAGAAATTTATTTTCAATTTTGCTTGAAAAGAATGACAAGAAGATAGATTTCAAATTTTGCTAACTGACAATAGTGCTATCAGAAAACTATGTAAACAAGTTGCAGGCATACATAGAAAAATAAACTTCTAGAGATATACCTCAAATAAAGAAGAAAGTTTAAAAAATTTACAATATTGTTCTCTTTTTCAATCAAAAATGAAGATGCACGTTTAGAAATATAAGGCATGCACATAGATGTTGATTTTTCTCTTTTGCAAGCAAAATGAAGTTGCAGGCAACTACATGGAAAATAAACTTCAAGATACATACAAGCAAAATAAAGAAACTTCAAAATTTTACATTATTGTTCTCTTTTTCAAGCAAAATGAAGATGTACGTTTTGAAAAAAGAGGCATGTACTGTAAAACTTTGAGTGCTATATGCATCCTTGAAATAAAATTATCAAATTTCTCCTAAAGATATCAACCAACACAGATTTATCAAGGCCATAAACGCAAGAAAGAAATAATACACCCTGAAGATATAAACTATAATTACCTGAATGTGAAGATGATAATGTAAATTGGTGAATTGAATTGCCACTACCAGTAAGACTTCCACCGCTCTTCAACCATTCCGGTATCAATGAGGGCTCACTTTTTTCCATAATTCTTGCTAAGCATGATCATAAAGAAAGAAAGAATTTCCAAATTTTGTTTCCCTTTTTCTAGAATAACTTCTCAGTTCCCAAAATTGTTATGTTCCCTTAAATCCAGTTTCACTTATTAAATGCCTTACTTAACATGAATGAACCTAAAGTTTCTAACTACTGAAACCAAAATCCAAAATTTCCCAATTTCCCAATTCTTTTCTTTGCACTGTAACTAAGGTAATTATAGTGAAACTGGAATCAAACCAGCCAATCAAATTAACAATTCAAAGAAACTAGAATCATGGCATTCCTGAGCAATAACATATACTTGAAGATTTTTCGAAAATCCTTCTCAAAAACGGTAACTCTCTAAACTAGCGCTTCTGCAATTCAAAGGACCTGACTATATATTTCCCCCCCCCCCCTTAATATTTCAATATCAATAGAAGGGCTGCTTCTAAAGTTCTTCAAAACCCAACAAGAACAAACTAAGAAGACCAAGACCTCCACATATCTAATATGACAATTCTACCCTTTTCAACAAGAAAGTACAAAACGTGAAGACTCTGAATGAAGAACCTAGACCCAATATGGTCAATAACCAGAAAAACCGAACCCTAAAGCATTCCTATCACTTCAACAGACCTTATCGAAAACCCAGGTTTTCCTCTCTGTTTTTGACTATGGACAGTACAGTAACAGAGTAAAAGGAAACGAAATTATCAGATTATCATAAGGATTATCAGCCGCTAACAGCCTAAATCAGATTTTAAAAAAAAGTAGAGAGAACCTCAATCGTACGGCTCTCGACGCTTCGTCGTCCCTTAATTCTATCGCGGTACGAGGTTGAGCGAATCAAATTAAAACACTAATCAGAATACCAGAAGGAAAAGTGTTGGCCAAATAAACAAAACAGCTTAAGGTTTTTGGAATTGCGCCAGCGATGCCTTGGGAAACAACGAGATAAAATAATAACAAATGCAATTTTTGTATACTTCCTTATATATATGGCTTAATTATGAATCGGTACCTAAATTATACTAATATAACTTATTAATATTAATAAAATTATATTTTTGAATATATATTAGGGTGAAGTACACAAATAGTCCCCTGGCTAAGGGTACTATTTTATTAAGTCATTCAACTATTAAAAGTTACAAATGATCCTCCGACTAATTGCTTTGTTGAGTCCTCAACTATAAAAATTTACAAAATAGTCATTTGACTATCTATTATGTTCCAAACTCGTTATTTTTCGTTAAAAATTTGTAGTTGTCTAAGCTGGAAGTTAACATGATGATTAGAATGTGATAGTCGTTTGTGATTTTGATATCATATTTTATCATATCATAATTAGCAAGTTAACATACAACTCATAATATCGTCAATTTTTTAACAAAAAAGGACGAGTTTGAAACATAATGAATATTTGTGTGAACATTTTATAACTTTTGATAATCGGGGACTCAGCAAAGCAACACTCTATAGTCGAAAGATCATTTTATAACTTTTAATAATCGAGAGAATCAATAAAGTAATATCCTATAATCGAGAGACCATTTATGTACTTTGCCCTTGATATTAATGAAATTAAAATAACAGAATATTAGAATATAATGGAAAGGCCTGAAATTGGGACCGCAAATAAATAAATTTGGACATCAGTTAAAAAAAATCAAATGGTCAATTATCAATTAATTGTGATTTTGACACATTATCCGAATCTGCTACAAGACATGTCAAAAGATCATAATTTTCCTATCATGTGGGATGTTATTCTAGAGTCTGTATTTAAATTCTTCAAAAAAAAAAATTATACGTGGAGATCAACACGAAGACGGTACAACAATATGTATGGATGACTAGGTCATGATTTATTAGTAATTTAGTTCCTACTGCAACAATGATGCCATCAAACATGCATGAGAGAGAGAGAGAGAGAGAGAAGGGTAGTTTACAGCTGAGAAGCACAAGGTCTATCTCCGAGAGACCTGTAACACCCCAATTTAGGGGCTAAATTTTAAGAAATTATAATATGGTAAATTTAATTGGTATTTTGGAAGAAAATGAGGATTAAATTGCAAAATTTCAAAGTTGGAAGACCATGTTATAAAGTGCAGAAAATTCAGTGGCTAAACTTATGGTTTACCCATTTTTCTTTTTGAGATATTATAAACCCCCATCAGACGCATATTTTTCTGGAAAATTCCAGTTTTCCTCTTCCCCTCAACCTCTTTTTCAACTCCGATCTACTCGCCGTCCGACCTCCGATCGACGAACCGAAACCACCATCGTGTTCGTTGTCAATCGAGGAACAAAACCCCTCAAACCTTTCGTCGTGAATCATTGTCGTTCGTCATTAATTTCAGTCGAAAGTATCGTCGGTAATAACTCGATTTTAGTTGGTTTTTCATCTATTCACGATGATCGGGTAATCCGTTTACGACACCTCCCGCACCATTGCGTTCCTTGCATCGTTCCGAGTCTGTCGGTGTCATCCTTGGTCTCCGTCGACGGCGGCGCGTGAGGAGGTGAAGCGATCAAAGTTTCCGACGTTTTGGAATCGAGCTCTCCGCCGTTCAAATTGTGAACCGATCTTTGTAAGTGCCTCAAAATCGCTTAAAATAATTTTTAGGAATTTTTCCGGGAATTTTCCGACACGGGGTTACTGTTCACGCGCCGCACGCGCCACCACCTGAGAATGGGCTTCGTCTGGAAGCCTGAGGAGCCGTTTGAGCCGAGCCGCTTGAGCTGAGCCGAGCCGTTTGAGCTGAGCCAAGCCGAGCCGCCTAGATCGAGCCGTTTACTGTTGACCACCGTTGACTGACGTTGACTACAGTTAACCAAAACGTTGACCAGCTTTGACCGGGCATTAAACGACCTTTGACTTCGACCGAGTATACCTATCTTGATAGTTTTCGACGTTCCAAATCCGATTCCGTAATCCGTTTTCCAAAATTCGGACCCGAAGGCCTCGATATTGCCGGTCAAACCCGTTGACTTTGATTTGACCGAAAATTCCAAATTTTCGAAAAGTCATACTTTATGCTTTCGACGTCTTGAATCCGAATCCGAAGTCGGTTTCGCCAAATTCGAACCCGGTAAGCTATTTTGACTAATTTATCACCCGATTCGATCCGTTTATTGCAATTAAGCTCCGTTTCTGATATAATTTATGTTGATATTTATCTGAGGAATTATTTGAAGTTGAATTGAAGATCAAAGGCATTCGAATGGAATTTTTATGGTCGATCGGTATTGCACGGAAATCGAGGTAATACTTTACTACCTCTTTATGCTTTATGGAACATGTTGATATGGGTAAATGCATGAATAAGATAATGTTGGTCACTTTTGTGGAGTTGAATAATTTATTCACTCGATATGAATGTGGTAGAAATTCTGTAACTGAATACGGATCGAATGACTAAGATAAGAGATTGATAATTGTTAGAATTAAATTACAAGTTTGTGATTGGTGATAAAGAAATCAGCTCTGGATTTGTAAGTTATATTTTATACCATCAAGGGTTAAATGTTAAAGATACTTGGATGAAAAATTATGAGAGTTTGTGAAGGAATCATTTCAAAATCAAAGAATGTTCGGGAAAGCAATTGATCATAGGATCTCTAAATTATAATTATTTTCGTTAAGTGCTAATATTGAAATTATTTGGTTAAGAAACTACGAAAATGCCCTTGAGAGATAAAATAGTCTGAATTGACCCTGAATGAGAGAGTACTTGAGGATTTGTACTTAACTCGATTAAGTACGAATTTAATTGTTAAGATCCTGTCTTTGTACAGAAAATTTATAATATTCCGTTTGTAAAATCTGAGAAGACACTTGACCCGAAAATATTCGAATAAGGAGTAAATACTTGAAGAGTAATTTATTGGAGGTATTCTGCTGACATAATTGTTCGAAAGGACTGAAGTAAATGATAAGATTGAATTAAATAATAGACCGGATGGAAGGAAATGATTGAAATTTCTAGAATTATAAAATGACCAAATTACCCCTGGAATGGAAATAACTCAAGAATGTCACCAAGCTCAGGAATGAATGGATATACTCAAGCTTTGAAATGAATAGAAAAAAATGTTAAGCACCAAAATGACCAAAATGCCCTTATGACCTAGAATAAGTAAATGTCTTGGATTAATTAAGAAATCCAAATAAACATGGATGTTGTGCTACCAGTAAAAGTTGTGAAACGCAACTTAAGTGATTAACCAACGTTAGTACTATATCATACCTGAATGATATAAGTATCACTTGAATGTTTGTTCATCTGCTCAAATTTGGATCGATGATAATTCTGGAAGTACTTGGCGTAGCTCAACTCTAGAGAGCATACAGTACTAATAAGTGGGTAGTCGTTAGTCAAATCAACCACGAATACCATAATAACTTTATTATATGAATAAATTGAAATGAAATGTAGTACAACGTGTATTTGAAATTCAGAAACGTCTGAATTATTCTGGAAAACTTTAAAGTAATCGGGATAGACTTGCTTACCAAACGAACTAAGTAACATCAATGAGTAAGGATTAAATAGGTGATTTGATGAGTTTGGAAACACTGTTGAACTTACATGATGAATTGTCATTATGGGTTATGAGCCATGGATCAAGTACGTCAGTATTTCCTGATATTGTTGAAACGTAGAAATGAAATAAAGACCGTTGGAAGATTTATTCAGTGATGATTATGGGGATGATCTATGGATCTGCACTATGGTATTAAAGAGTGAATACACTGGAAGGATAATGAATTGACTTGTTGACATGCATCAGTTTGAGAGTTGTGTAACTCGAGTTGTTTGATAATATGATCGATAGTCGTAGATTGTAAATGACTTGAATCTTCGATTCTATATTTCATCTAAAATCACTTCGGTCATGTTTGAAAAAAAAAAAACAAGTAACGCAGATGGAAAAGATTCTGAATATCTCATTTGGTTCAATTGGGCTGAAATCCTATGAATTTAAAGTATATTCCTGAATACCCCTGATTGTTTGGGTAATGGAATCGCTCGCAGTAAATCTGAATTTAGAATTATTATGTATAAAGGTTCATGAACGTTTTCCTAAAGCACACGAAAATATAGTGGGATTCTAATGTATCAATATTAAATGTCTGGCTAGATCGGTTAGTAATCGATTCTCCTCAATAGGATCTTGTTCCAGGAATTCGATCAAATTTCATAAGTTTCATGTTATCCAAAATGATAACTACAATGGCCTCTGGAAATACTGGGATTCTCTAGTGTGTTCCCTACTTATTACTGAACTGTTTTATTGGTTTTAATATGTGGTACACCGAATTCATTGGTTATTGTTTTATGGATGCACCAATTTAATGTGACAATTTATGGAATATGGCTGCTATCTAATTTTTGTTTTGAAATGGTATATGATTACCATGGTTTTGGATTTATGGAATTTATGTCACGGTGCAATTGAATTTTGGAATTGAATTACGATGGAATAGCTCTGATCAAGCTAAATGGGCCTAATGTGACTCTTGAGGGCCCCAAGATGTTTCATTAGGTCGGCTTTCCTTTGCTGTGTGCTTAGGGTAAGCTATATGGACTTATTGACTTGGGCTTAAGGATACAAGCTTCATAGCCTATCCTTAAGTCGGCTTTCTTTTTGCTATGTGCATAAAGTAAGCTATATGGAAAATAATTTTGGGAACTACTGATGGTGTACCAGAAAAGGGTTTAAACTATGATTTTCAAAAGTTAAACTCTTTTACGAAATTGTGAGATTTACTGGACTATGATTTGTACCTATTATGATTTTATTATACTGTTGGAACACACTAGACATCCTATTCGATCTCCTGAAAATGTCATACTTTGAAAGGTTTCTTATGAACTGAGATTCATGGCTTCTACTCGATGAACTTCTAAGGGAACCCCAAATTATTCTGCA